AGGGAAATTATGCTGCAGGTAACTAAAAGTGTTCTAAACACTCAGACGTTTGTGCTGGGCCATGATTCTATTGATTTACTGACTAAAAGCAATGGGAAATTTGGCTCTGGTGGTTTAGTATTGCAAAATATTTCCTTTACTTTTTTATATTTCCTTCACTACCACTGATTTCATGATGATATCATGATGAAACAATGCCAAAATGGGTCTGAACATGCCAGCTTGTACCAGTCATGCATGAGAATTGTCTGAAAAAGTGAACTCAAAGCAGCAGAATCAGCTCCTCTGTGTGTGTGTGTGTGTGTGTGTGTGTGTGTGTGTGTGTGTTAGAGAGAGTTGTTGTTGTTGTTGTTGTTGTTACTGTGAGTATTAATAAAGGAGGAGGGGTGGGACTATACTGGGTTAATATTATTCAGTTGCAACTGGATTACTGCACATTATCATAGCACAGTTTGAGGAGCCAATGCAATTTTCTGCCGATTTCATTAAACATACATTAATTATGTATGCCTAATTTATTGGTCTTCATTATCAACAGGTTTATCTTTCAGTGATTACTGTTTAATTGGTGATTAGATGATAACTGTGACGCTGCTTGACTTTTTTTTTTCTTTTGAAACCATCTTTGCTTAAGAGGACCTTTTAAAACATCCCACAATACATGTACTGAACACACAGCATCTCATTAATTAACAAACCACAGACAATTGAAGGGATAGTACACAACACTAGATGAGTAAAAATAGTTTAGAAGCAAATATTTAGTGTGCTGTCCTTTTTTTGTGCAAATCACTAACAACCAAATTAATATGTATTTCTACCAACATCAACATGTGCAGTTATAATGATTCTGATCAGAGAGCTCCATTAGAGTATTCAGGCAGTGGCTAAAACACAAGATGACTCAAATTTTAGTTGCTGCAAAGACCTTACACAGGCCTTTTTGTGATACAAGGCAGGAGAGTGGGGATGCGAAATCACCCCAACAGCACAGAGGAGAGAATAGGTTTTGAGTCAAGATTTATGAGAGGATGCTGTTCCTCTCCTGAGGTGGTTGAAGAGGACGGTCCTGATTCAGGAAGCAGCAGTAGATGAAATGATTACTTCTGGTACTGACTCTGGTCTGTGGAAATGGCAGGGATGTTGATCTGAGGATATAGGAACCATGTGTGATTGAGGGCATTTTTAAAAATAGTTTCAGTTCTGTTGTTTTGGACTTTGAAGTGATTATTGCAGTAACTTCAGCCCTAGTTTCGACACTGAAATGGGATAAAATGTCATTTTTTCTCCACAAAGCAGGGCAACACTTAAACTGATTTAAGCTTCATGGAAAATTTAAGAGGTTACGTGATTGGATTGGCATATCAGGCATGACATTAGACTGGTTTTCATCTTATCTCACTGAGAAGAGTATCTTTATCTCAGCTGGAGACCTTTTGTCTGATTCCTCTTTACTGTCTTTTGGTGTCCCGCAGGGCTTGGTTCTGGGGCCTCTGTTATTCTCTTTATATTTGCAGCCCTTGGGACAGATAATGAACACATTTTATACTGCATGTCATTTATATGCAGATGATATTCAACTCAACTTCAGACAAACCTAGTGAGCTTTTTAGGTTATCAAGGTTCCTAGACACTATTAGGGCTGGACTGCAGAAAACTTTTTACAGCTCAGATGAAGGTTCCAATTACTGCTCAGCCAGGAATGGACAGACCAAATATTGGCTCTAGACATGGCTATTCATGTTTTTTTGCATTTTTGTGTTGGCTATCATAGTAACACCCTCTCTGCGACAAGAGTGTCAAAAACACTGATTTTTTTTTTTTTTTTAACTTGAAACCGCTTTCTTCAGTATTTTTACTGCTGTGTGCAGAGTGCATTTGTTTTGGAACAGACCTCTGCATATAATTTGGCTCCTAGTAAAGGGTCCATGTCATTGGTTCGACAGCCCATTGGTTCGACATCCCATTAGTCCGACTGTCCGCGGTGCTGAACAGCTTGCAGTGGGTGTATGGTGCGCCGAGACCGGCTTGAGCAGGCTCACGGCTTATGTGTTTGTCACTTTCTTTTTCATTTTAACCCACACCATGATCTTTTCCTGACCCTAACCAAGTGGTTTTTGTGCCTAAACCTAACCAGACCTTAACCACAGGGCATCATGATGATTTCGGAACGGACTTTGGAACAATGAGTTTAATATGGTCGGAACAATGGGATGTCGAACCAATGGGCTGTCGAACCAATGGGCATTTCCCCCTAGTAAAAACCTCCTAAATGTCTGGATCTTAAATTATCACAGAAAAAAATATGAGCACACAGCCTAGCGGACATACCAAACAATATTGGATTTGTAACATGAAACTGCTTTATTCATTATCTGTTTAAATCACCGGTTCCATTTGTTTTGAAGAGGAGGAGACTTCTGCAGATAATTCAGCTCAAGGTAAAAACCTCTTGAACAATGAACACTGAAGGAATCCTAACGAGGAGAAGTTTTCAGCTCATTACAATCTGCAATCCTCAAGACTAGATACTCAGATGGTCTTAGTCACGGGATTGGATCTTTAAGACCCGTTGTGATCAAGTTTTTGAGGCTATAGCACCTAAATTATGGAATGCTCTGCCTGCACCCTGGTGATCTGCTGACTTGGGGTTTCTTTTAAAGCCAGCTAAAGCCATACCTGTTTAGACAGGAGATTGATTAACCTGTTTGAACTAGATTTGTATTTTATTCATATATATAGTGTATTCTGGTTGTGTATTGTGTTTTTTCATGATGTACTGTGCTTCACACTTTTCAATGCAGGGTTTGGGTAGTCGTCTCATCTTCTATGACTTCGTCCTTGAATGTTGAAAAGCCCTTGTACAGCACTGTGTGACCTATGTCTGTGAAAAGCACTATAGAAATAAATTTTACTGACTTTGTTACATAAAATCTGGCAGTAGGTAAATGGGGAGTTTTGCTGAAGAAACAGGAAATAGACGTTTATTTTTGTGTTGTGAATCTCAGTATGTTCAGTCCCCAATGCACACATTGTCTTTGGCAACCAGTGGATGCATTGTCCTCATTTTCGACCCCCCACATCACCCCTCCATACACCTGAAAACAAAGATATTGAAAAATTGAGCAAAAAAAAAATATGACTGCAGAGAGCGAGGCAGCGATTGTGCTTAATCCTTAATTTGGTGATCAATAAGATTCTGGTGCATGGGTAGCAGCTAAATTCAATGAGTGACTAAGCCACCTTGGGAACATTTCCATGCAGATACAATTGCAGTATGGATAAATGAATGATTTCATTACGGATGAGAAAAACGAGCGCTGTGGGAGAGTGTACAGTTGCATCTCATTTTCGGCTTATTTCATTTTGTGGATATTTGTTGTGCAATGATTCACAGCTGTTGGAGAAAACCCTGACTGTATGTTAACGATGTACAAATACGCATTGTTTTTTTTTAACTGAATATCAAAGCTCTACTAAAACTGCACAACATGAATCTGTCTTTTAGGATTTTGGAAGCCAGCAGGCACTAAACAAAATACATTAGAGGCTAATTCAAAGTGGTTTAGTGGAAAGTTAGTTGTAGAAGTTGACACCAATGTGCCTTTTTACACAGCTGGTAATCATTCACTCAAATGAAGTGAAAAACCAATTAGTTGGTAGTAATGGAGACTTCACTACTTCTACAAACATTACCTTTTTTTTTTTAACAGCCAAACTATTTACACTGGTGTGCTTCTAACAGCTTAGTTTTGCTGCACCCTTTCATTACACCGTACAGTGCTATATAATTATAGATCATATAACAGAAAAGTGAACACTTTAAAGCACCTCTCATACCCAGATTACAGCCTTTCAACCCCAAATAAACACACAAAGCTGCAACTGCAAATCATTTCAAGGTACACCCAGGTAGCTTTTTTCTCGCCATGAATCACTGTTTCAGCTCTTTGCCAAATTGTCAGTAATGACTGACAAATATAAATTTGTACTCCAATTTGAAATGATGGCACTCGAGCAGTGACAGTTTGATGAGCAGGCGATGCTCGTCTATAATCACAGCCTTCTTTACTTGACGCTGATGAACCAAATAGCGCGGCGTGACCCCCAACGGGAGGAACACATGAAGGACAGCTTAGCATGCCTTTCATGCGTCGCAACTCTCGCAGGATGTATCACAGTACTCCGACTGTACCTAAAACAAGCAAGAGGTACAAAAGAAAAAGGGTGCCTGTGTGTGTGTGTGAGAGAGCGTGTGTGTGTGTGTGTGTGTGTGTGTGTGTGTGTGTTTCGGTTAATGAGAGGTTGGATCCAAGTTTTAACTTCGGAGAGGAATTCCCTCATGCGTGTGATCCTGGAAATGCAAATGACAGGAGGAGTGCATATTCATAGATGGGAAAATGGAGTCCTCATCTGTCCTAATAACACTGTAGGGTGCCTTCTGTGGATTTCTTTGAGAGTCTCAACACTGAGTAGGAGGGACTGTCTGGTTTGGAAGGTGGATTATACACGTTCTAAAGCTTGGGGGGAAGAAAATGTGAATAAATAAATAATGATAAAGGCCTTTTCTTAAATGTATGATTAGCTTGTCTTGCAGTTATCTTAATACAGAGTGCTGCGCCTTTTGTGAAATGTCTTCCCACTGTGCCATATCGGCTTGGAGAATGGTGTGCGCGTGAAGAGAGAAAAGAGAGGAGGTAAAAATGCAGAGAGACAGAAAGATTGTCAAGAAAACACCAAGGGATGGCTGCACAGAAAAGCCTCAAAGTGGAAGTTGTGACTCTGGGATGGCAAGACTCAGAGGTAAGTGTTCAGGCTTGGCGCTACAAAGGGCAGTATAGTGCTTACTTTGATTGAATCAATTGCTCTGTGTAAGTAGCTGCTGGTGCCGGCCTCCCCAGGGTGACAGAGAGGTCTGCGGAGAGTGAACCAATCCAGCCATCCATGGCCAGAGAACAGGGAGGATTAACAGAGCAATGCATCATAGCTGTAGTAACCAGTGATGTGTAGCAGACTGTATTTATTGACTCATTGGCTGTATTGATTGTCTCAATTGATGAAAAGTCCAGAGACAACAGACAGACGCACAGCGAGTTATGCAAAAAGAAAAAAAAAAGAAAAGAATAAAGATGATGGGTCAGGTTGTTATTTCATTGCATGAGTAAAGGAGCATTTCACAGCAAAACCCTGTTATTCTCGACACAAAGCCAGTTAGTCCTGCTGATCACAAGCAAACCTCTGATTACAGCACATTTCCCTGCCACACATGATCTCATTCAGGTTAAATACATACAATAATGGCTTGGTAATTTACCTGGGCATGTATGTAGCTTTTCCTTGACAGCAAATTCTCTCTGACATTGACATTGTTCCAGCGGCAGCGGTTTATTTAACACGCCATTAATCTCTAACGACAGAAGACTGCGCCGCAGCAGATGTTTGTTAACAAACTTCTGCTCGGTCCTCCGCTGTTGTTCTTCACCCTCATTGACATGTATTACTGCGACAAGAGGAGGGTCACAAGGCAAACAGTTGAGGACTGCGAGAGTTAACTGATGTTTTGGGTGCTTTTTTTTTGGGCGACAGGAAATTGTTTTTGTCAAGATGCAGAGTTGTTTGATCCACAGCTAACCCTTGGTATTTGTAGTACATGGATTCATTTGTCAAATTATGCCAAAATCACTGATACTGCGCCACATCTGAGTGCATGGTCATCAGTATGCTAATGCTCAACTATGCAGTGAAACAATCCAATTATTGAATGATGGCCACTGTACATCAGCTCTCTTATTGAATATGTGTGCAATTAATGAGTGCAGAGCAACTAGAACACTGACACTGAGTAAATTAACACTTTGGTAAACTTAGACGGACAAAAACAGGATTGTCTCCACTCCAAGTATGGACAACTGAAAAGATGAGCACATGTCAGAGGATTATTGTATTATATGTCTATCATTTTTCTCTTTTCTCTCTCTTCTAAAGCAGCAGGACAGTGTGGGAAAGACAATACAGAGCATGTCAAGGCCTTAGCCATTGAAATAGAATATCTTTTTGTACTGAATGCTGGTGAGTGGGTGTGAGGGCAACAAACTGCAGGAAAGTAAAGGGAGAAGAAACAGGCAGAGTTTACCCTTAGGGCTCATGAGGTAAGGACACTTAACTTATCGCATGCATTGCCATAGTCAACATGATTTTTATATCAGCTCTATGCTTTAAAAACAAAAGGAATAAATCATCTCCTTTTCACAAATATAAATATATTTTATGTTTAGTATATACAATAATGATTTGCCATCATCAACAACATTAGTATTGAAGGGAGAGAAAAAGCATGTCAGTAAACTCTTGCTAATGGATACAGACACTGCAAAGACAGCCATGATTGATTGGCGTGCTCAAGCACTCTCTCTGAAGACGAAGCGAGACAATAGTAGTTTTATTGAAGAAGGCTGGTTGTGTGGCTGCGCCGTGCCATGCCGCAGTCTACTAGTCCTGAGAGCTACGAGATTCACTGTCCTCCTCCAGCTCCCATTCAAAGTTCTGCCCGGTCATTTGGTAGAACATCATGTTAAAGGGTTTGTAGAACTTGTGCAGCCGCCGAATCACGTCCGGATCAATTTTAGGGTGAGTTCTCCCTTTAGACTTGCCGAGGCATCTGGGAGTGCTGCTGTCCTCCGGCTTCTTCAGACACGGAAATCCTTTAGTTTTATTGAAGTAAAAGTGTTTGTCTGTGACGATCCGTTTGAGCCCCAAGAAGTCCTGCACTTTGGCCATCTCTCCTGCGGGATCCACGATGAGCCTTTCCCCGCTGACAAAGTGCATTTGGGAGAGAGGGAAATACTGCATCCAGCTCTCCAAGTGGAGCGCATATATTCCTATACGCAACGCACTCCATGAGGCGTCTATAAGACCCAGCGTCCGGTTCTTAAAAGCAAGAACCTCAAAGGTGGGGATCTCGGGTTTCTTGGACAAAGTCTGTGTGTAGTCTGAAATAGCTCTAGTGACAGGATTACGCACCACTATAATAAGCTTGATGTCTCTGGCCATGGAGTGGATGCGCTTTGGGGCATGGTTAGTCACAAAGTAGCTGGGTGTCTTCTCCATGGTGATCTGCCCTTCCAGCGTTGAAGGCATCAGGTCTCTGGAAACACAAACAGGGAAAGAGAGAGAAAGAAAGAAAAAAGCAGCTTAGCACAGTATTATCCTCAACACCTCTTACGGTGCAAATGAAATACCCAAGGACGCAGCGCAAGCAAATTTGGTACATTTATTAAGCAGTACATTACTTGAAATTACAAGTGAAAATAACTGTTATTATCACTGGACATTATGTTGTGAGGAGAAACATACAGCTAATTACATCCATGGAGTAATATGCAAGAGATAAAAGAAAGAAGATGAAACGGCAGGCAAGCAAGTATGCTCATTGCTTAATTGACTCCATCTGTGTTACTCCAGGAGCTGTTTTGGAACTTTAATAATGAGTTCGCTGCATATCATTAATACTGGGGTGCCTGGGGTATTGTTTTGTCATACATTTATTATGCATGCAAGGCTCACACTCTGTGCAGGCAGTTTTATTTCTTATGCACATACACTTCCTCTGCAATGGGTGCAGGCTTTTCTTCTCCTCTCTGTGCTACGTTTAAGGTTAGGGGCTGTTCATTGACGGCAGAGGTGATTAATTATGAGATTCAAGGTGATAATTTGTAGTACAATAGAAATGTCCCCTACTTGAGAAATTTATCTCAGGAACAATGGGAGGCCATTTGCCACATCCACAAATATTATGTTCGACTTGGTTTTGTAGGGATAAGACAGTGCCGAGCATATCATAGAAGCAAGTCTTGTTTCTACACCTTCTATTTTTGTATCAATAATAAAGCATAGCATTCGCCTCAGGCAAATCCTTATCAAATGTTTACACTGATGTTCACTCCAATCCGAGCTGTTTTCTTTGTTTGTAGGCTATGTAATTCAGTGCTAAATTGGTACATTAAATCCGCTGTGAGACACGCCGTTTATTTCACTACTAACAAATACGAGCACAGGAGCTCCACAATATAATATAAAGTGCAACTAAATCCAAGCATGCACACAGTTTTCTTTTTTTTTTCTACTACCCAAATTAAGTAATGTTTGCTTGGAAATTAATGTATAAACAGCCAACCAGAAAAATCCAAATTATTCCATCTGGAGACTCACAGAGTTAGTGCAGAGAAATTCTCCATAATTCTGGGATAAAAGCTATTTCCTTCTCACTGCAATATTTTTTCCATTAGGCTGCCCTGCGCCACAAACCTACAGTTGTAACGATATAGTCACATCAATCATTTGCATCTTGGACATATTCTAAATTAACTGTTCTCCAGCAAAGAATCCAATTTACTCTGCAAAACATAAGAGCTGTTATGCACATATCGACCACCCTCGCACACACACACATGCACCCATGGATACTGGGCTGAAAGTCTCACAAGTGGCCTGGTAATTGCATCTCAGTAACAGTATTGCCTTCCTGATGGGTAATTTCCCCCTGGATTATGTTTGTCTCTTGACAGCATAGAACTGTGGTTACTTCTAGGCCTGTAATGGGATATTAAACATATCTACTGATAGCACAGTGACTAGAAAGAGTATTCGTTTTCATTATATTCCATCACTTTCCACACTTCCTCCCTTACAGTAATGAATGGCTAAAGATTTTTGTAACCTTTCAAGGACTCCAAGCGCTGTCTACCATTTAACTCCAAAGCACAGTAGGTGGTCCGTGGGTGCAGCCTCACCATGTATGGTAAGAAAAAAAAAAAGCCCACATGTACCACAGCAAATCACCTTGAAACATCCGGTATCCTACTGTATGGACCTGAGCTGCAGTGTCTCACTGGTAATGTGCTGTGCATCTTTGGAGCATGTCCAATTGACAGGACAGATGTACAATGTTCAAGGTTACCTTTTTGAAGGCGTGCACATAACAAGCTATTGTCCTCATGGGCTCAACGCTAATCATCATGCATTTAATTATAAAACAACGGAAACTGCACAAGCCAAATACTTTGCTATGTTACCCAGGCTCCATTTTGATTGGGAATCAGTCATGGATCATGTACGTCTACATAAAATGTCAGCGGGACGACGAGGCGGGACGGAAATCAAAATGCTGATAAACAAGCTAATTTCTCTGTGCATGGCAAATGACTCCTCTGGCCTTGCAGTCTAGTGGAACTGGAGTAAACAAGAGCAAACCGTTAAGTCTTGCTTCTTTTCTCTCCGCATCAGCTGCACAGCTCGACACAGGTCATTCAGGTGGGTAGGTAAATAAAATCCATAGCGCTAAAGAGGCCCTGCGAACCATCTGCTGTTTACTGCTTCAGACTGAGGACATACCACATAACATTTACTTTCTTGCATTTCTACACATGTCCAAAGCTTTATTTACATAAGTGTGAAGATGAAGGCGCCCCGCACTTGGAGTAACTTTTAATGATATATGCTGTGAGAGGCATGCTACAGCCTGAAGGAGAATTACCTTTGTTGCTTTGAGAGACATAGTGGATGCAAGTAAATAATACAGACTAATATGACTGTGATACTTCACTGAACAGAAAATAGTTAAGTGCCATTAAATTTCCTTGAAAAGCAGCTGAATGCGGTCTCATTACTGTTCTGCAATACATAATAAAAAAAATGAAAAAATGCACGCAGCCAGATCCACTTAATGCAGCTAAAACATAATCCAAGTCAGACAAATAAAAAATAAAGCAGAAAATCAACCTTTAAAACTACATTTCTCCAGTTTGTATTGAGGTTGTGTACTCTAACTTAGGAATGAAATCCATTTCACACCCATTCCACATGATATTCAGATCCGAAGGACGCACCGTCATCACCAGAGGTTGATTCATCATTCAGAACGTGCAGTATACCAAATCACAGCAAATCTTTGTGTTTGTTAAGACAGAAACTAATCTTCACAGATAATCACAACTCTTCATGCCTTAACGCCCACCGCAAAAGCGCTCTGGAACATGGCCCGGCGTTTAACTCAATGTTTCATTATGTTCTGTCAAACTAGTGTACAGGGAATATTTTGAAGCATGATGAGGTGAGGGATCACGCTAATTTACATTCCCAGATACTAATAGGTCCAAGCTGTTTCTGGAGGAAGAGAGTTTCTCCAGAGAAGCCGAGTTGTTTCTAATAAACTCTGGCAGAGAAATAAAAGCTCCCCCAGTCTCTCATTTGGATTGATCAGGGCTCTGCTGCAGAGTATAAATCCGCCGAGCTCCCTCCATGTCATGTCAAATACAATCAATTATTCTAAAGGAGTCCACTCATAATAAGCTCCTGAGTCCTCGGAGAGCACATTTTGGAGACGGTGCCAGTGATGTGGGCAGACTACTGTGATCCACTAAATGATTCCTAAAAAATAATATGATGAAATTGAGGTGTGAATCGTACAGTAGAGACAGGCAGTAGTCCCTCTGCAGAACGCTGTAGGAATCTTTGCCCTTTGCAGAAGAAACATATTTCAATTACATTTTGTAAAAGAGGTGATAAAAGTTGAAAGCCGCATTTAATTTTACGTACAAGTGTTTTCTGAAAAAGTCTGGCATTTTCTCAGTAAACTGAGGCCTTAACTGTCAGTGCAGGCAGACAGCAGAAAGGATAATGAAAGGCATTTGTGTTGAGGTGTTACTCTGAGTCCGATTTCAAATATCAATCGAGGGTGTAAGCAGCTATTCATCAACAACAGTCAGTCAGGACATTTGAAGTGAGAGATACTGTGGTCAGTTTGCAATGAATAATCCCATTATTACACCCTGAGTGACATGTTTGTGATTACAGCAGTACAATGAACAAAGACATTGGTTTACTGAGAGGTGGAGAGAGGGAGAGGGAGAAAAAAAAAAAACGGTCGGTCAAATGAGTCATTCTTCACTCGGCTCTCAACAAGTGGATGCGTACATGTTTGGCACACATAAAAAAAAACAATCCTACAGGCCAGAGCAAAGGGTCTTAGTGGGTCTGTTATGGAGTGGGAGGCATTGTTTTGTCACGGTGAAGGTGCAGCTTTAAGGAGGAAAACAAATACAGAGTATGCTGCCATTCTCAGTGATCAGATCAGGCTCAAGTAATGGAGGAGAGTTTGGTTTGTTTTTGTTTTTCTCAACCTGAATCTGACCTTTCCACCTCAGTGTAGTGGAAGGATCATTTGCTTGCCTTGAAGCTATCAATTGGATCTAGTTATATAACGTACATGACCTACTGAGGGTTAAATTGTGTTCTTTTTTTACATAGAGAAATGTGTACCCCATGCAACTGCAAAAACATTGACTGTGACTATAATATTTAGTGCAGACTCTAAAAGGGGAATTACGCAACAATATGTTTTGTCATGTTTCCTGTCTTCACATTATTATCTCTGCCAGGCATATACCTGAATGGGATCGTACATTCTGTATCCAGTACTAATCTCACATACTACTGGACCCAACAGCCTAATATTTTGTGTGCGCATTTATGACTGTGCACTTAAGGACCTCTTGTGGTTGTGCTGATTCACAATTATTGAATAACCTGTTTTATTGAGTGCTTTGCATCATAAAGCATCATTGACTTCTGACTTCTCACTCCTCTTCACTGATGGTAGGGACTTTGTAAGATCAATAAAATCACATAGCTAAAGGCATTTCCAGCAATAGGCCAAAAATGAGCCTTACCTGGTCTGTTGCAGGCACATTTTCATCTTTATCTTGGTTAAAAAAACTGACTTTCATAAAACAATTGGTCTCATTTGAACCAGAACATCTGCAGATTGACACTACACCCAATGCAAATGCGCATTTCCTAAGAATGTCCCACCCTATTCTGCCTTACTCTGCCTGTCATTGGTTTACACTGACATTCTTACCCTAACCCTAACCAATCTCACTCCTCTTGCCTACACCCAAAAAATCCAAGTCAACAAAGGTAACATGCACTGGGCAATTACAGGAAGAGTGGGGCGGGCCAATTTGACATAGTGGCCAAACTGTGGAATTACAACTCCCAGGTCTATCATAGCATTAGCAAGAGGGTTCCTGGTTCGAATCCAGGGTGGGGAGTTCTAACCCCAGGGTGGGGGAGCCCTTCTCTGTG